AGATTTTAATACTGACACGAACTGACAGGTTTATTTTTTATTTTCGTAATATTTTTGTTATTTATACATTTCAATATGAACGTTTACAAATGTTTGAATGTTTTGGCACTATCCTCGCATATTTTGAAGACAACTAGGAATTTATGGGCAACAATTTGACTTTTCTAAACCCTGAACTGATGAATTGCGCAGGAAGTATGTAATACAGTATTCAGTATGTGATGCTGTCTTCAAGACTTTATATCTATGCACAATCCAAAATCCAAAGAAACAGAGGCCATAGCTCAGGCAAAATGCTGGGCAGCTGACGAATACTAAGTGCAGGAATATAGTTTCAACCAAGAATCATATTTGCATAATATACTTTTCATTAAAGTCATCAACTTGTACCTTAATAAACCTGTTTTCAGCATTCTCAAATTGCATCCCTGGACCTCTGGTCATAGTAAAGAATAACATTTTAATATCCCTCCATAGGCTCCACTGATTAGCCTAATGAATATAACCCCTTCGGAGTTTGATACCATAAACAGAAAATTACAAAAGTTGCTGCAGATTGAAGACACACTGCTCAATGCATGTTTATATTTATTTCATTAATTAATAAATATCACAAATGGTATAAAAACACCAGCCAACAACAAAATCAGATAACATGGAAATGAAGAATAACAATGCACAGTCATAAAATGCATGAACTTCATCCTGAAAAATAAAAATGGAGATATGATCAAGATTTATTCCCAAGGTGCAAGAAGCTAAAAAATAAATTAAAAGCTGTGATAATTGATCATTTCACTTTGGATTTGACAAGGTAAACAAGATAATGTATTAACTAGGCTTTAACAGGGCTCACTATCAGAGGTTGGAATTTTACACTGTTTACAGCATCTTATTATTTTGTATTAGCACCCTCAGATCATGTTAATTGATGCTGGGTGGGATCAATAGAAGAGTGACTATAGTAGACTCACTGGGGGAATGGTTTACCTATTAGCATTGATGTTTGCTATCATGAAAACAACATAGACCAAACTCAAAAGATTGACACTGCCAGGAATATAATTTTTTTCCCACACAAGTTAAGAAAAAATGATAAAATTTGGGTATATAACATTGCATTGACTGTTTGTACCACACGTTTTGATGGATTTATTGTCTCAGAGGCTTTGGTAATCAGTTTATACTAATAGTCCAACTCGAAAGGCCAAAAACGAAATTGTTTATAGTAAAAAAAGTTGAAAAACGGCTTACCTGGATGTTATAAAATAAGAGCAAAATGAGAAAATTCGCTCTACCGATAAGTGAATTAAGCCATTCACAACGTCAGACGCAGAGCACGAAGCTACGTGTCCTTTCCATTTGTTGAACAGGGAAAAAGAGAAATACTTTTATCCATTTTATATGAAAAACAAAAAATACATACGGAAAGCTGAAAATATTTTCATAAAATCCAGGAGGGAGACGGACTCAATTTCTCACTTTGTATCGCGGTATGTCAGTGGTAACTACCATGAGCAAAAGGAACCAAGTGGCGTCACCAAACGCCGAAATCCGCCATGTTTTTTGCTTCACTTTCTGGTCAAGAACCGGTCCTCCAGGAATTATTATATAGCTCAGTGGCCACACCCCCTCTGGCGATAGAATTTTAATTGCTCACGTGACCAGCCCCAACCAGGGTCTTTTCTCCCCACGAGTAGAGTAAAGACCCTGGGTACGAGGTTGGCAAGACATGCACTTGCACATGCACACACCGCAATACGTCATGTCATTCGCACTATAAACTATAGACGTTTATTTACCACCACCCGAAGAGAAACAACTTTTAAAGAAACCAACCTTCAAAAATTTAAATGTTGGAAAAGAACTAAATTAAGTGTAACTTCCGTTCTGTACTGTAGCGTTCGTTGTAACTCCCAACGGCTTCGCAAATTTTTGCCTCAAAACACGCTCCTCGAAGACTTCTTAGGCGAATCCGTTCCGTTCCTAGTAAAGAGAAGTGTATTGGATCCTTCGTTGAAGGAAAATCAGTCTGGGATTTTACAAGGTCTGACTCCCCACAACCAGCCGAAGGTTACGGCTTCGTTTACCAGGTGCCAGATTTGGCCGTCGCAACATCTAAGGCTAAAGCAACGGTTAGCAGGAAATGCGCCGTTGCTGTTGGCTGTTCTATGGCTGTTCCGACAGCAATATTCGGTATCGCGTTAACCCAGGCTTCAATCTAAGATCTAAGTAAGACAACAGCCCTCAGTTTTGGTAAATGGGAAGTAACAGCAACCCTTCAATGTGAAATGCAGGTAAAATCACATATTAGAGATAAACAATTGAAATAAATGCAAAAAAAATTATTTTTCATTATTAAATTAATCATTAATTGTATTCAGAGGTGTCCGTAATCATAATCTTGGATCTGGTTCAACTGTGAGAGTGTGCGCACGATCACCGTACAAAATCATCTCCCGTTTTTACATCTCCTTGTTTGTTTACAGCGTCTTCTCTTTTACCGCGAATCTTTCTTCCTTTTGCTGATGGTGGCAACGGCTTATCGGGATGAGCCTTCCTTATATGTTTCAATCTCGCGCCCGGCTGAGTGAATGTCTTACTGCAATAATCACAGGAGTACGGCCGGACACCGGTGTGAGTTCTAACGTGACAGACCAACGTGAACTCCACGGTGAACGCTTTCCCGCAAATGTGACATTGATACGGTCGTATACCGCTGTGTATGCGGCTGTGGCGCTTCAGGTCGTTGGTTTGGGTGAAGGCTTTGCCGCACACCGTACAGGTGTAAGGGCGGGTCCCCGAATGAATGAGCTCGTGGCGAAGAAGGGTGTTCCGATGCGTGAATTCCTTGTTACACGTGGAACATTTGTACGCCTTTTCAGCATTGTGCGTCTTCAAGTGGGACAGCAATGGAGACTGCAGGGAAAACGCTCGGCCGCATACATCGCACTTGTACGGCTTGATGCCCGTGTGCGTACGGCTGTGCGCCTGCAGGCTGCCTTGCTGCGAAAACGATTTTCCACACAGGTGACATTTGTATGGCTTGAGGCCGGAGTGGACGAGGCTGTGACGCTGAAGGTGCTTGGCCAGCGAGAACGCCTTGCCGCACGTCTCGCACACGTGATCTTTCTTTCCGGTATGTATCAACATGTGGCACTGGAGAGTGTAGTTACGAATGAATCGTTTGCCGCACGTTGAACACTGGAATTTCTTCATCTTCTCGTTCTCGCGAACCACCACCTCGTCCGGGATGTCGACTTTGAACGGGTCCTCGTGGTCCGTCGGCTGTGGAACGAAGATGCTTCGCTGCTTTCCGTTGTTGCATTTGTACTTCAAATGGCCGATCAGACTCGATGCTTCAGAGTACGTCTTGTTGCAATTTCGACACTGGAATGTTTCTGATTCTATATTGATGAGAACAAATGAGATATTTCCGTTAGCTGACAATTGCGCAGAACACAAACCAGCGGATCCATATCGATTCACCGCAGAAATATTTTCTCTCTAAATTTTGACGCAAAGGCTAAATCATCTTCACTTCAGGGTCGGTTATTCAAAAGCCGGTTAACTTTACCCAGGGTTAACGCAAATTTTTCATTAATTTTTTTCATCGCTTGTTTACAAAAGTTGAATATTTTTTCCATCAGTATTTTCTGGTTCAATAGAAATCATATTTTGTAAAGTTTTAACACAAGCGGCGGTGCACATGCACGGAAACTAGGGAAACCCAGGGTTAGCGCTAACCTTGAACAACTGACTCTAGGTGATAGCTATTTATCCAAAAAAATACGGCAATAAGTTAAGAGAAAGAGTGTGCATGATGAGGTTTACAAACATTTTTTTAAAGATATTTCCTATGAATTTATCGTTCTTGAAACTTGCAATGCATTAATGCCATGGAACTTACTATCTGCATCTCTTTTCTGAATACCCGTTCCTTGGTTCTTCGCTTGTTTCTGCCAATGATGCAAAAGCAGCTCTTCATTGGTAAAGATATCTCGTGTCACCATGTAGTATATATTGTTTTCATATTGTACCGGTCGAACGTTTTGTTCATTAACTTTTCTCCCAAAATTTACAAATCGTAACCAATTCGATTGAGAAGCATCACTTCCATCAACTAGATGGACTAATTTGCCAAAGTCATCCTTTACCTGAAAGAGGATGCAATTCTAGGGTTTCTGCAATCTCTTTGAACATGGCTCTACATAGAGAAACCACTTTAGAAATATCCCTGGCATAAAATTAAAAAAACGTTGTGCAATTCAAACATGAAGTTATAAAATCATATTTCCAGGCACAGGCGAAGTCCTAGGGCTATACAAATTTGAGAATGCAAAATATGTTCCTTTCGGTCTCATCCACCCTCTCTCTTAAGGCTCCATCCTCTTAACCTCCTCAAAACAAAGAACCTATGAGGTTCCTTAAATATTGAGACTGAGGTGAGGGGTATGTGTAACAATTAACAATTAAAAATCAGGGGAGTTATAAACAAATACATGATAGGGAATGAGTGTAAACCCACTAAGGTTGCTCACATGCCAGATACAGAGTTTTTGGATTACCTATTGAACAGACATAAGATGTCAGATAGGATGGTATTGAAGGTGGTAAAAATACCCCCACCACACTATATCAATTTCCTTAGGAATTAAAGACCAGCCACTATAATAAAATTTAATTTTGCAATTATTTCCATGTAATGTTATTATATAATGCTAAGTATGGTGGCCGGTCGTTCTCATAGTAGAAATTATAATAACTTGGATATATTTAAAAAGAAATAAAAAATAAATTTCATTAAATATAAAAATAAATTGATAAACAATAAAAATAAAATAATAAACAATGAAAAATATTTCGTTATAATTAAATTACAAATTTTATTTTGAAGGTAAAATAAAAAATAGATTTAAGTCTTTAGATCAAAGTACATTTTAAAAATATAGAGACGGAAAATTATTTGTATGGTGAACTTTGAAATTAATTTGCAATTTTACTATAAAAGCAATCCGTAATGCCCTGGCCGGTCGTTCTCATTTGAAAACATTTCGCAAAATGAAATGTTCCAAGCGGCCGGTTGTTCTCATAGCCCGCGATATTCCTCGATGAATACGTTGTACTTCATATTCTGTTGTCATGGGCTATCCGCTAACCGACTTGCAACAGGAGCAGATAATTTCAATAATTCCCGCCACTTTCCGTCATTAATATTTTGTCAATCCGCGTTTATAAAAGAAATTTCACAGAAACTTTACAAGGAAGAGTCGGGTTTGCTTCACCTATTTACATCGTAATATGCCTCCCAAAAGACATCAAGCATGGGCTGAACTGCACAACAAAATGAAAAGCAAGCGAAGCAAGGCTAGTAATGATCAACGGGGAAAAAAGACAGGTTCCGCACCGCATGAACTAATCGTGCAGCGTCTAGCAGCCGAACCAGATCACAAGCAAACATACAAAGCAGTCCAACCAAGGGAGTTTGTGGCCTACGAGTATGAGGATTTGAGCCTAACAAATCTTAAAAAAGCTTGTGCAGCCCATTTCCACCTGCCAGCGAGCTCGTGCGACGTACTGGTAACGAATAAGGGGCCGTCTTGTACGAATATCAACCAAATTCCTCACAGGAAGGACAAGGTACTGGAAGCTATATGTGGATACCATGGATACCATGGCATTGCACCATACCCCAAGGGTGGTGCATTAAATTATGTGATTATATTCATGACATATAATATTACCATTTTCCTTCTATCAGGTTTACCTTGTGCGGTTTATGGTCACAGAACAATTAGGTGATGGGTATCCGGATAGCCCAGAGGTTTCAGATCCTAAAGATATGGTGTTTGGGCCAATAAATGTCAGTAAGACACCAGACACTGAGGATACCCACTATCCAAATTCAGTTTCAATAGACTTGTTGCTAAAAGCTGGACAACTTGTAAAACCTAAGATGAAGAATCAGGTATCATTAAGGTTAGAAAAGTTCCATCTTGATGAGCAAGAATGGGTGTCTTTAGAAAACTCTCTTGATTTATTGGTGGACTCAGAGAAATTTTCTTCTGGTGGATTCAGGGATGCATTTCTTGGAGTGACAAAAGATAAAGAGAAATGGGTAATCAAGAAATACCATGAAAAGGCTGTCAATGTAATAACAGGTACACTCAATTCAACTGTTGAAGACCATACTCGAAAGCAAATACAAATGCATTCGGTTGCAAGGCATTTAACTAAAGTGTTTAGCAACAAAGTCCCACAAGAATTTGGCGAATGCTTCACTTTTAACCGAGCCTACTACACAGTTTACCAAGGGCAACCTGCAACTGTTGAAGAATTTGTTGAAGGAACATTCCGAAAATATGTCAACAACAATGGAAAAGTGTGCAGACCTGAGGTTGGTTACATTACTTTATTTTTTAGTGAATTTGCCAACTGTCATGATGTAGTTACATGCATATATATATTATGTTATATTATGAGATTAACATGTGTAGATGTTCAATGGCAAAATACAGAGTACTCAAACACATTTCTTTATATACTAAAAGTCTAAAAATATACAACATATAGTACATATGACTATAGCTTCTATATTTGTAAATAGGTTTGCAATGCTGACATGATGACAATTATTGACAAGGCTGAATGCCTAGTGCATTATTCTCACATTCAAAGTTCCAAGAAACTCATGCTTGTTGATCTTCAGGGTTCAGGTTACCACCTTTATGACCCAGAAATTGCCACTAGTGAATTACGTGCAGAGAGTGGTGAAGCTTACTTTTGCTGTGGCAATATTTCCTTTATAAGTATTGAAGAATTTCTGGATGCACACATCTGCAACAAGTTTTGCAATATGATCAATGAACTTAATACCAGCAGCTGATGAGCAAAAAGGTTTGGACAGATACTATTCTGAAAGTTGGCAGTGTCTAACTCGCAATCCTACATTGAAAAAACCTGTCCCCATCCAGGTGTTACTTCACGTTATTAAAACACAAAGCACTGTTCTACTGCCATACATGTAAAGACAGTAAAACACTTAAATTTTGGTTAATATTTATAGATTGCAAGCTGTAATATTTCTTATGTTGCTCAGGATGGAAGTCTTCCCATTCCTTGTCTTTTTACAAATATACTATTATTGTTCAAAAAAATCACTATAGAGTTGCTATTTGTGTACATTTGTAGCATTTTTGTAGACTTGAATGGACAGCATGCAGGCTCTATATCAGGTGCTCTCACTAACTTCTGATAAACTGGCTGATGGCACATTGTAATGTGCCTTCAGAAATAAATAAGCTGTTGCAGCATCATTTGGCTTTACATCATCAATTGCAGGTATAATTCTTTCACATTCTTCTCGTACAGCATGAGTTAAATAATCATCCCCAACACTCATGACTTCAGAGAGATTGGCTGCCTCATCAAGTATTTCTTTTCTTACACTGAAACCTGTTAATCAGATATGTAACAAAAAGTTTCTGATACACCAGGCATAAAAACTAAATTTATATAATTCATGTAGTATGGTATATGAATATGTCAGGCTAGCAATTGTACAGTTTTGATTAAAGCAATTGTACAGTTTTGATTAAAGCAATTGCATATAATTGCATATTGGATATTTCAGGTTTTGCACTTTTCACTGTGTTTATGTAGATAGGGGAATGAAGTGAAAGAAACATACAATTATTTGAGACCAAACAAGGAACACTATATTCTCTTTCTCTTTGTTCACGTACTATCTAAATTTAATACAATTACATACCACATTGCTCGGCTTCATATTGCTCAGGAAATGCATATAAATGTTTTGGTATTCCCTTGGGTAACTGAGCTTCCTTTTGGCATCTTACTCTATGTGAATTCCATATAGTTTCTCTGAACACCTCCAGTTCTTTTCCAATTATTGGTATATAAACAAATGCCAACAAATCTCTGTTAGGGAAAATAGACTTGCATAAGTTTGTAATAAAATGGTTTTTTATTTGTAATAACCACCAGGGCCGTAGCTAGACTGCTTAATTGGGCGGTGTATATTCATATATTTCATGTTTACATATTGTAGGAACAATAGCATACAAAAGTAATTAGTCGTGCATAAGACGAATATATGACATAACTACTCCTACTGGTAATCTCTGGTAGCAGTAAGCAGAATAGAATAATTAAAAGCAGCATTACCTATCAGTTTGATTGTGCTGATCATAGTGGCCTTGTTCTAATAACATTAGTAACTGTCTCTTGAAATACTTCTCGAGACGATGGTGCAACTCGCGCCACCAGCGTTCAATCTGCAATAACATACTCAAATGACATACTGTATTTATTTAATTACTAGACTGTTTTGCTATATATCCAAGTGATCTCATGTATACAGGGTATATCAGAAAAAAGGAGACAATTTTGGAATAGTTAAAAAACTATATATATATATATATATATATATATATTATAATTAAAAACTATATATATATATATATATATATATATATATATATATATATATATATATATATATATATATATATATCGCATAGAATTGTGCAAATATTGGTATGTTAGAATCGTCGGCTCAATGTAACACTAAAAAAAAAAGAAAAGAAATTTCACCTTGTTATTTCAAAATTGTCTACCTTTTTCTGACACACCCTGTATATCTTACCTTGTTGTTGGTTGATGGCCCATAATGTACAGTGTCCTCACCATTTACATTATATTCTTCATCTTGATGCTGCCTTAGAAATGCATGGATAGTGGCCATATGACCTGTTTCAGTTCCCTTGTCAAGCCTCAAGTGATTACTTATTACTGTTAAATAAAGAATATAAAAAAATTGCTTTATTCACCAGATAATTTATGAAAATATAAGGGTGGTAATTTGAGTTTTATGATAAACTAAAAATACCTTACTCTACTCTACCTCTTGATCTGTATAATTGTTCTAGGTACCATCGTCCCACCAGTTTTGGGTCTGAGTTTGATGTCCAAAGCTTCAAATATAATATAGTTGCTAAACACGTCTTGTAGCCCATATACGGCAAGAGGAAAGGTGCCATTCATAAAGCCCATGAGCTTATCATGCCCATCTGCTGAATGGGTATGATTGGATCCCTAAATAGTTGGACAATATGTCATTTAAGAATTATATGCGTATACTGTCTTATTGGCCTACTTGGGGACCTTGGCAAATGAGTAATTAACCAATGGTATCCAATGATGTAAAAGTACGGTGGCACCTCTTCGTCGTTTTTTTTCCCCAACGTTCCCGCGGCGTTCCAGCCCTTCTGGATCGACATAACCCATTATGTCGTGTACTAGGTCTCGGGTACAGCTAAGTTATGTGCTCTCTTATTTTTCGCTGCATCGCCCGATAACCCAACAATTGTCCTGGACCCTCTATCTCTTGACGCACTGCCCTTTCCACGTCTTCGAGTGGTGTATCATACCGAACGTACTTGATATCATAAAACTTCAAACGTCTGCTTAATGTTCCTAAGCTCCACGCGTACTGCGGAAAATCTCGGCGGACAAATCCAAAATCTCTCTACGTGATAGATTTTGCATAACATTTTTCTCTAGAAAAGACTTTAAATCGTCGTCATTTTCCCAATCGTTATTTCGTATATTTCCTTCCGCCATCTTACTTTTTATTGAGTTACTTCCACTGAGCTATATAACTGAGCTATAACAGGTGACGTCAGTGGTTACTTCTGTCACAGGTCACAATAATCGCGGGCTATGAGAACAACCGGCCGCTTGGAACATTTCATTTTGCGAAATGTTTTCAAATGAGAACGACCGGCCAGGGCATTACGGATTGCTTTTATAGTAAAATTGCAAATTAATTTCAAAGTTCACCATACAAATAATTTTCCGTCTCTATATTTTTAAAATGTACTTTGATCTAAAGACTTAAATCTATTTTTTATTTTACCTTCAAAATAAAATTTGTAATTTAATTATAACGAAATATTTTTCATTGTTTATTATTTTATTTTTATTGTTTATCAATTTATTTTTATATTTAATGAAATTTATTTTTTATTTCTTTTTAAATATATCCAAGTTATTATAATTTCTACTATGAGAACGACCGGCCACCATAGCTAAGTACATTATTAATATGCCTTGTTTAGAATTAAAGCTCACCTCCCATACGTAATGTGACTGTTTATAGTTTTTTGCATCCTTCGCATCAATGATTTTGCCAAGATATGGACCAAAGAACTCATGTTTTGGTATTTCACAATTAGCAAACACACCATGACCAGCATTAGGTATAGTGGAGTTTTTAATGAGCAATCCTGGTGGGACAAGGACATCAGCTTTGCTAACTAGTGAAAGAAATGCAGGAATCATGGTTACTATACATTGTATATAATTTCTACATACCTCATCTTTGACTGAAATTATGTAGTTGAGAATAAATATTTACATTTAGAATGATGAATACGGCAGTGGTTGCCTCCTCTGCAGGCACTTAAATGCCAAGCCCTTCATTAATTGGCACAGTACGGTGTAATGAATATAGTTCAGTGGCCATATTTTGTGTCATTTTATAATGATAAACCCTAAGTCACATTAATTTCCACTATTCTCCCTGTGAATTGCTCAAAATGATTGGGGAAAACCCAGAGGTATTGAAGGTAGGTTAACTAATACCTCAAAATGAAACCCATTAAGAAACTATGCAGCAAGACCTTTCAGCTTAATGTTTCGATCATTGTATGAAATGCACACTTTTATCAGTTTTATGAGCTGATTGCACTGAGTTGGAATATGTCATCATACAAAAAGAAAACTAAAGAGTACAAAATTTTAGGATTTTGATATTCATTGTCCTTTGCCTTAATGGGTAGGTTGGCCTGCACAAAGGTACAAAGGGCACCTTAGTACTGATTGGTAGACAGGTTCTGGCAAGGTAACAAGTGCTACAAACACGTTCATATTTGTGGTCTGTTTAATAAACTTTACGGAAATTAGGCAACTAAAAGTGAAGAAATATGTTTTGTGGGAAATTTAGGCAATTCATAAATTTCATGGAGACTGAACTGATCTCTAACCCCCCATAGATATAGCTAATCATTTTGCATACGACACGTATTTTCACATACGTCTTTCAATGTCATTCTTTGAGAGATCATCGCCATAAATATACTTCAATTCAATTGCCTTTCTCGCCGTCCTGGTTCCCACAGCCAATGGGCCATTGGCAGACTGAGAATGGGCAGGAATAGAGCTTGCATTTAGCCTCTTTTTGTCCTCGGCTGTAGTAAGAAGGTCGCCCTCGCTCAAGTAGCATTCCAAATCACTTTCCTCGGAGAAGTCTGCTTGTATTCCGACTTCAGAGGTGGAAATGCATGTGCCACGATCTCGGATTCCTTCGGGTTCTAATAAGTTGGAATATAAGTATAAATACATTTGATACATTATTTAAAATTGCAACACAACTTACACAAGTGTCACAGACTTCACTCTTCAGTATCTCCGAGTATATGGCTTACCTCGCTCAGCAAAGGTCGATTGTATACGATCAATACCGACTTCGACTGCGGAGTTCTCCATGCCTTTCATCTGCGAAATTGCTCTCTATTTAGCCTATTATTACGACCACAATCTCTCGCCTTCCGTATCATAAATGTACTTTCAGCTGCTCGAGAAATGCTGTTTGGAACGTGCACCTCGTGCTTGCCTCAATGGGCACGTGATCAGTATTGGAAATTGTACATATATTAACATATTAATTTGATACACTTCGTATACGAGACGTCACATCTGCCCTCCCGCCGTTTCACAGCGAGCGAGACCAGTATAATCGATAAAAAGGAAACAAGGAATCATCAAGCCATGCTAACATATGCAATGTAGACTATGTAGTATATACATTTTCGAACCTCATC